ACAAGCGAGGATCGGACAAGGTACACACAAAAGACACAGGCAAACACACGCGCGACAATAGGGAAATGCAACCATTACACCAACAATATAACAAAGGCTATTTACCAAACACAGATAAGGACTTTTTACAATTGCCAGCGAGTATGCCGGGATATGCTGATCCCCGCTGGTGCTGGAGTATTTTGTTTAATACACTAGGAAAGCACGCTAATTTGTTTTATATAATACGACAGCGTGCATATAGTGTGCTGTCCTAGCGATGTGATTTTGTAGTAAATATAACATAATATGATTTTGTTGTAATAAATTGGGGTATTTATAAGACAAAAAAAAGTTTGTCACCTCCTTTACCTGCCTGCACCATGCCTAGTTACCATGACACACACACACATATATACAGAACAATACCATTCATTTGTAAGGGCTGTGACAGGGCCTGATGTGACAGGGCCTGTCGGTCAGCCAGTAGAACTGCTTTTGTTCAGGCTGTTAGCATGCTAGTATTAAAACTGTTAGCATGCAAGCAAGGAATTTCAGTAACCTTTTCAGACATACTTTGGATTGACAACAATTTAATTTTTTCTGGGATCTTTTAGCATGCAGGGCCTGACCTTTAGCTGCAAAACAAGCGTAGACTCTTACAAATCTTGACAGAACTCACCTTTGAGCAGTATCAGCGTCACCTCAGTCAATGTCACTTATCAGCCATAATCTTTGAGTCATAAACTTAGTCGTATTGCACATTTTTAATGTAATGTTTTATATAAATGTCACAGAACTGACCAAAAACATGGAGATAGTTGTAAAATGCTATTTATTTGTAGAATTTTGTATCATTTTATGTTTTCAATCAATTGATGTGAAGAATAACTTATATTCATTATTGTGTTTAGAAAATTTAACAAAACTATGGAACATGTAGGTCCAATTTGGCTGGGGACAGTGCATTTTTAATAATTTTGTAATTTTCAGAAGCGTTTTTAAAAATGAAAAAAAAAAAAACCTAAAAACCTAATATTCCTTTATAAAAGAAGAAATTAACCATCGGTCATGTTCTCGGGGGGGCAGAGTGGGGAAGCAGGGAGTCCGGAGAACACCAAGTTTATTCGGGGTAAAATACACACAAGACCACAGAACAGGCAGAAGCAATGTTATGACCAGACTGGGGACTCACTCACAAAACCTCACTTAAATACACAGAATCAATTAACACAACTAGAAACAGCTGATAACAAGAGGATTCCACACGAGGTAAATGAAGGTGTGTGGAACACAGGAGGATCGGAATGATCATGGCATAACACCATCTAGTCAGTTTTAGACATTTTTAGATTATACATGTTTTATTCACTGTAACAATTCACGACAGATAATGTAATTTCTGATAGACTGTCCCCAAAACATGGACTAGACTAAACATTACAATCAGAATCAGCTTTATTGTCATTCAAACTACTTGACATGATTAGAACAAAACACAGATCCTCAGGCCTCGGTGCGTGTAGCGTGCTACTAAACAATAAATAGATTAAATAAATAGTAAAATGCTAGAGTAAAATATCTGAACTGGAAATGAAAAGAGCCAAGGTAAAACCTCTGAAGTAAAAATTTAAATTTAAAAGTAACGTACAGTATGGCAACAGCGACTTCAAGTGATCAGTGACAGAGTGACAAGGCAAGTAGGAAAGACCAGTAACACATAGTAGTCTACTTAAGGAACTTAAGGAGAAGGAGGACAGGAAGACAGAATAGGACAAGACAGGGACCTGCCTAACACAGAGTAATAAGTGTGAATTCAGAAGTTTTTTTTGCTCAAAGTAAATTTATTTAGAGAGAAAATGTTACATTAATCTGTCATAACAAAAGAAAAGCACTTGATTATCAGTGTGCAGAATTATTAGGCAATCAAACTGAATGAGTGGATTCTCTCTTTACCATCAACAGAAATAAGCAGTTTTTGTTATTCAATATATATATAAGGAATAAGCTATTGGCCGTTCTAGACAGCCCACTTCACCAATTTTAATGTCCAATATAGCCACATTTCTTCTCAATGACCATCATCAGCCTGTTGCCCACTGAACCAATCAGCTTTTTGATATGATCCAATTCTATTTTAGCTGAGCCAGCTAGGCCCGCCTCCCAGACACTGCTCAGAGAGGTGTGCTGCTTGCCACATTGGTAAATCTCATACTTTAGTAAGACCCAGTAGCTCTCAATGGGGGATTAAGTCCAGCAATGGGGAGGGGGCAGATCATAATTTGATCACCTTTCAAGCCTAGGCCAGCAAATCTATGCAATACTTTGGTAAGGACATTGTTCTGTGTGTACTGTTTTGAAAGCCGCTGACTTCTACTCGTACCAGTGTCTTCTAAAAGTTGGCAGTCACTTGGAGGATTTATACCATTTGCAAGCTGCATAGGTCCTGTAAGTTAATCACTGCTTATTGCAGCCTACACCATCACTACCACTGCTAATTGCAGCCTACACCATCACTATCAAAGTCAATTGCAGCCTAGACCATCACTATCAAAGTCAATTGCAGCCTAGACCATCACTATCAAAGTCAATTGCAGCCTACATCATCACTCCTCTACTACCTTGTTGGCGCTTGAAGGTGTTTATCCACTGGCCCTTCTATTTGCTCCATTAAGAGTCACTTTCATGTCATCTGTCCACAAAACCTTTGTACAATCAGTCTTGAGACATTCTTAATGTTTTACCTTGCATGCCTTATTGAGTGGCGGTCACGTTTCAGCCTTTGCGACCTGTGTCATGTAGCACACAGAATCTAGTACTTCTGGAGATTCCGTTCTGAGTGCAGTTTTTAAAATGGTGGCTAACGTGTTACGCCCAGCTCGTCCGATCCTCGTGTGTGCCATGCCCACCTCGTTACCTCGTGTTAATTCCCGATTGCCATCACCTGTTTCTCTTGGCTTTTCCTGTGTATTTAGTCCGCGTCTGAGTTAGTCTTCTGAGATTACTCATTGTATTGTTGTAAAGTTCATGGATGTCTGCCCTTGTGTTGCCAATAAACCCGTTTACTGTACCTGTCGGTCCGGCTCAACTCGCCTGCTTTGCGTAACGTAACATAACGTATGTTATATTCTTTCTACATGTTTCTTCAGTCTTATTTGGCTGCTGGCCACAAAACGTTTTATTGTATAGTGATTACATTTTTAAAGAAATTTTGATTGTTTTGCATCTCTCTGACAGGCACTTTTACCATTTTGTTTAGTCTCTGTAGGGATTTTCTCTCTCTGTAAGGTCTCTTTTTTTTTTTGGTCCATATTAATAGTAATAACAATTTGCTTAATGTTTTTGCATAGGGAAGTATCCACAGATTCCTTCATTACTCCAAACTGAAAAAATGCTGTTTTTAGCCTCACTGTCCTGGCTTTGAGGCTACAGAGCCTCCTACGATACAGGAGAGGAGCAAGGAATCTGCGAGAGGGGTGGGATGATCCTTGATGACGCCAGTAGCCTCTAGATGCAGAAGCCATTGTAAATGGCTTCTGCATCTAGCATTTGGAGAATTTACCACAGGTATTTATACGTTTTCAATAAGATCTGCACCATAATATAAAGTCAAAAATTCCAATCTCTTTCCAGTTACAGTGCCTCTTTCAGGAAGTGGGTTAAACCTTGAATTTGTGTCCAAACACCATGACATACTGCATATAATTCTGTCTGGAGGTTCTTTGGGTTGCTGACTGTAGGGGAAAGGTTTAGTGTTGTTTGGGGGGTGGTGCCCTGTCTTTAAGTCCAGATGGAGTCCATTGGGCATAGCTGAAGTCAAAATAATGCAAAGTGTTTTGACCGATTTACTTACCAACTGCTTTCACACATATCTGGCTTTTCTCATTACTGGCAAACTGCAATGATCTGTAGGTGTCAGTCATATAACAGCTATCGAAGATACTGCAGCTGCTTTTATTCTCATTAGAACATTCCGGCACTTTCTGGCTGGGCTGCTCTGGAGCCCCCGTAACGAATTGCTTAGCTTAGCACTTACTGACGTTCTCCCTTTTCTCCTTCCTTTATTGGCCGCTGCCGAGCGTCACATGGCCCATTTACAACTTTACGTGTATTCTGACTGACGGTAGGTTGCAAGATGGAGGTAGCTGATCTCCCAGAAATATTTGCCTTTGAACTGCAAATAGAGGCCAAGAACAGCAGACCAGGTGTTTTGCCTAAAGCTCTACCTGCCGTGAATATGAGAGAACCTAGCTTCAGATGCTACGCGGCAGCTCCAGCCATCGCAGCCCTGATCTGGAAAGGTTCTTGGAATAACTGAGTTACTGTGAGGTTTACCAGACAAGCTACATATAAAAATGACACAAAAATAATTCAATATTGTATTTATAAAAGAAGACAGATAATGCTTTCTGTGAACATGCTTTATTATTTGTGCATGACAGAATACAGACTTCCTTGTGACCCTGGCTAGGACAAGTGGTTGGAAGATGGATGGAACTATAGAGAGGACAGACTTTTTGTGTTACACTGGTCCTAAAATTTCTGTCAGGGGATGAATGCTTCACCCCGAAATCATGAGGAACGTTTCAGTCCCAGACCCCCCGCCTGAAAGGAGCCAGCTGTTTCTTTGAGAGTGTTTAGTGTGGAATCGCTCCAACAAATGGCCTCTGCATCGGGCCGGCAGATTGTATGTATATCTCCTCTTCTCTTGCATCATCCATTTTCTTATGTAAAGGGTGACTGTCTTGTGACATTTGTGTAAAATGACATGGATTCGCAATCTGAATGGTTATTATGGGGTGGCATAGTGGGGTGGTTGCCTCACACCTCCAGGGTTGTAGGTTTGAAGCCCAGTCTCCTGTGTGTGTGAAGTGGTCATGCATATATTAAACTGTGGGGATGAAATGTCATTTCATCTCAGACTGTCACCTCACACCACTGTGGAGTTTGCATGTTCTCCCTGTGTCGTTAAGGGATTCCCCCCCCCCCCCCCGCCCCCCATAGTACAAAAACATGCTGAGGTTAATTAGTCATCAAATATCCCATGAGTGTGCATGTATGTGTGAATTGTCCTGAACAGGAAAAGTGGTTACCGAAAATGGATAAATGGATTATTTCAGGTTCACTGAACACTGCTGAATATGCCCTAAATTCCAATCATTAAACTTCTTTAGAACCAGAGATATAGTGTAAATGTAGAACCAGGCTGGGGCCACAGCTTTGATTACAGTTTCCTATTTCACTATTACTTCTATGATCATCATTATACAACTTCAGTACCTGCTATTATAATTGCAGGACATTCACATAGTAACAGCTTCACTCCAAGCATAGTTTAATCAGCAGATGTTCTGAACCAAATGTCTCTGGAACCGTGGGAGAAAAGCGGAATATATTCTGGAAACCTAAACAGGCATGGGGACAATAAACAAACTCTTACCATCAATAACTGGTTCTATAGTGTTTGGTTGTCACATCCCCTTTACACACAGAAGGCCCTGGGTTTGAGTCCCTGAGTTCTGTAATGTGGTTTCCTGCTTTAGCAAATGAAGACAAATATATTATGTGCAAATTGCTTTGTTGGTAACGCCACATAGTAGCTTGCCTGTTATTGTGAGATCCTCGGCTTTGTGGATTAGGAGACTCTGCCTCTAAACAGGAGGTTGCTGGTTTAAACCCCTGGCTTGGTAAAGTGATTTTGCTGTTGGCCACTAAACAAGGCCCTTAACCCCAGTTATTTCAGGCATTATTTTTTTAGTAGTAGTACTCATACTACCTCATCCTAAATTAAACACATTAATCCACAGTGATGGGTAAAAAAAATCAGTGTAAGTTAAAACATTACGAGTTGACAAAGTGCGTTAGTATATTAACATAAAAGATGAGTAGGGATCTCAAAGTAGCATGCTAAGAGAATCTTGAAAGAAGCTCATAATACGAGACATACCATGGATGGGACTTAAATAAATGCTGCCTTGCCACTTTTTTCTGGTTTATGTTTGCAGTATATCTGGAAAACTTTTCTTCTTTTCTTGGTTGTTTCTAATTTTGTATCAGATCCAAATGTGCTTAAAATGCACCAGGCCTGTTAGGGCACCCAAGACACAATGCATATGCAATGCATTTACTTTATTTACCACTCACTTTTGTCCAAAGTGACACACAAGTGAAGCAGATTACACTTATGGCTGTCAAAGAATCATCGAGGCATAAGTGCAGTTAGGCTGTGCTTCCAGTGAGTGCCCTGGTACAAGTGTAAGCAGTATTGGACCTTTCAAACAGCAAAAAGCTAATAAGACAACTATTTAAATTAGCGGAAACTGCATTCAAGGAACACAGAGCGGGTAAGCTGGAAGAGGTATTCTTGGAACAGATGGGTCTTGAACAGAATTGATTGGCCAGCCCAAGCGTGGAGCCCAGGTCCTTCATCTCTGCAGCAGTATTCTCTAACCAGCTGAGCTCTGCAGGCTTTTGGCTGCTTGTGCTGGGGAACATATTCTTTTGGGGAACTGCAGTTTAGCAATATAGTACAAATGCTTCTTATCAGGATCACCAGCTGTCCAGCATGATGGGCCACCAGAAGGGGCAGAGACCACTTGGGATATTGACCTGCATGTCTTAAATAATCCAATTAAACACGCTGTTAGGGGAATGGAGCTGAGTGATGAAAAGTTATCTTATCACAGCACATAAAAGGTCAAGCGTATGATGTTTCACAGGTCAGCTATTCTCAGCAAGTGGTTTGAGTCTCTGTGTAAGGCATTTTGAGTAAAAATATCTTCAATGAAACATTACAATGCAATAGAGAGTATATGGAAGAAACAAAGTTGCTTTGCATGGTGTATGTACAGTCCTTCTGGTCTTCTGCATTGCAGACTTGAAACATCAGAGCTGTTTAGTAAACGTCACATGCCATGATCACCAGTGATACAATAGAAAAAATGCTTTGGAGCCATAACTAATCTTGATTTTCTCGTTCTGAGCTGAACCACACAGGCACATGTTGAATCTCATTATGTTTATTTTTCCACGGTACTGGGGTGTATGCATTTGGAGCCACTGCTGATGTCATTGTCTTTATTTGACCAAGTTCCATTAACATGCTGCATGACATTAAGTTATCTTAACAGTGTATACTGCAAAGTATTCATTTTTCCTCCTTTGACCAGTTATTATTCTATAATAAAGGGTTACTGCTGCATTTTCAGCTGATTTATATAGAATCTACGTTACGTTACAGTTATAAAAGCTACCATCGGCGTGGCCACTGTAAGCTCTGCGTACGATCGATGCAGAGGTATGAATCAACCTTTGTGTTGCAAGTATGGGTCTTTATATGATGTGCGTGTTATATACATACACATACACATTATTATATATAATATTCTCTCTCCAATGCCAATCCTTTACAGTTACGGCCATGTGAATTCTAGCTGTTAAAAATCCACCCAGCCACCACCCATTTCAACTTCAACTACAAAATGACCACACCTCGAATCTTCTACCACACCAGCTCAGGGACACACTGGAAGCATTTATATCACTTCATTTACCAAAATCTGTACTTGTAGAGAGACCAAAAGAAAACAACGACAGGACGGCAGGAGACTTGGAATCGATCGTGCAGCAGCACTTTGATCTGCGTATAATTTCTTTCCAACATTTAGAATCATACACCGCAGGGACCGCGCTATTTCTTTGTTTCTTTATTTATTGTCCACATGGGGAAAATGGGTTGGGGCATAATTACATTAGAAATGTCTCACAGAACAAATAAAACAATAAAAAAGACCTCGAGTGAATAACACCCACAACAAGAGACAGAAAATTCACCGTTCTGTGGTACAAAGCTTTACAAAAGTAGAGAATAGTAATACGACCGCACACATTAATCAGGAAAAAAAATCCATAATACCTTCGACATTTTCCCTGTTGACTAATAAATTGCCTAGACCTATTGTCGCTGAATTGAAGGGAAATCTGTATAATAAGAATATGAAACTGAGAAAAATACAGTTTTCACTTTTCATGTGATAGTGATCAGCAATATTCCTTCACGCTCCCTTCATTTAAAACTACAGGTACAGGTGGAATTTTGCGATTTTATTAATGTCCATTTCAGTTGTTTGGGCCAACCTTGAATAAGACAGTATTTTGTAAGAGCACGGTACTGTGGTGTACTGGTGTTGCACAATCTAGTTTTCCCTAATTCGAGACCACTGTTAAACCCAAAAGTTTGTACTCCGAAATGACCCACCTCGCTGAAATCAGTTACACGGAATTTCGCGACAGTTGGGATAATCGTCACTATTAGCCTACCTGAAGAAATACAGAGTTGACAAGTAGCCAAATTGTAATTACAATATAACGATCACGGGGGAATGCACCACCACCCATCCGATTACCATGGTGAAGGGTCCAACACCATAAAAGAGTAATTCCATCTCACCTTCACCCCACTCACTTAATCATCTTCTCCTCTGCAGGATACGTATCACACACTCTGGACCTGTTAAGCTGTTGCGCTTGTTGCAGCAGCAGCAATCGGCTCTGCATTGCGCCACTCCCAAGACCATTTAGCGCCTCCTTAAAGTCCTTAAACTGCGCTCAAGACAGACATCGCACCCAGTTCAAAAGTTATTCAGGCTCGCTGAAGTGGACGTGATCAAGAGACAGCGATCGTTCAACGAGATACAGACTCACGTCCTGAGGCATTCTTTGGATGTGTAACCTTAAAGATAACAGAAACGGTGGGAGTGGGAGTAATTGGACGGGGCATCCACGTAGGGGAAAAATAATTTGACATGCCGGAATTCATCTGATATTATGATAAAAAGATCATAACTGAACTGCACACAACAGGTTAATTACTTAAAATTGAACTGATCTAATGATCAGTGTTTTATCCTGTATTGGACGCATTTGAATCTATTCCCTTAGAATGAGTACAGTAGCGGCACAAAGTGCGGCCACACTTATATTTATGTGGGGCTATTGTGCGCTGTGTGAGTCTTTTTTTACCAACTTCACTTTTAACGAGGACTTACACTACAGCTTCGTGGAGCGGCGCCTCCGCAGTCAGGAGCGCAGGGACATGCAGCGAGAGATCCTTTCCATCCTCGGGCTACCGCACCGGCCGCGGCCGCATCTCCATGAGAAGCGCAGCGCTGCGCCCCTCTTCATGCTGGACCTGTACAATGTCATCTCCACCGACGGACGGCAGGATCTGCACCCATACAAGCCCGTCTTTACCACCCAAGAACCGCCGATCGCCTCTCTACAGGACAGCAACTTTCTCAGCAACGCCGACATGGTCATGAGTTTTGTCGACTTGGGTAGGTAACTTTTAAAATGAATGAGTTTGAGGGAAATACTTATTACGCGTCTGGCAATGTCTGTTAATGTCTTTTACCTTTTATAAAGAGTGTAATCTAGAGAGTTTTCTGTTAAGAACTTGTGTTTTTTAATAATTACAGTTAAACGCGTTAACGTGCAACATATTGATGCACAATACGTCTTCCCTTATTTAACTTAATTCTTTCACAAACTGTATTTTTTAATCTAGCCTCGGGAAGTATAGGTGCCCTACTTTGGATTATTTTAGTGTTAGGTAGTCAACGCTAGGTTACAATTAATGCTAATTTGTTTGGGACGAGTTTAAATAATAAACACAGTGTTTATAGGTTCTTATCCTGATTTTCCAATCCGAAGAACAATATTGAGAAAAGTATGCGTTATAAGCGCATAATTTTATATATTAGGCCTAAATGATAATTGCGTAGTTTGATTTGAATAACGCTTGTGGTAAAATTTTATTGATTAGCTAAGAGATCAGAATTTAACATTAGTGATAATTTAGACATTTAAAATAAATGTAGTCAGGGTTTCATTATTGTGCGAGCTTCTCAATAATAGTGGTGGACATGGATGATCACGTGACTGTATTACTTATGGCGGGTTTGACTGATTTTAAATATTAAGTTTACAAAAACCCCCGATTATCTCATCTTAAAATCGAGCATATTGTTACAACTATGACGTGTTTTGTTCTGCTTTATCAGTTTTCAAGCTTTGAGTTGTGCCAGTTGCCTGATTAACCCGATAATAAGCCAGAGAAGTGACTTTGTAGCAAGTGGTTGGGTATTCTTCAGGCATGTATCAGTCTGGAGGAGGAGCCACTGGGGGAAGTAGAGCCAAACCGTACAACCACTTACCATAGCCATGCCTGCCTGTCTGTGTAGGTGTGTGTAGGCGGACTTCCTATAGTATTATTACATTATGAAACCAATTACTGCTATTTGTTGCCTTTAGATGTTGCTTTTGCCGAAGTGACAGGCAGAGCACAAGCCACATTGTGGCTGGCCTCTCATGTCTAATATTAGCATGTCTTTTCACGAGGCCCAATCAGCAGGCTCCAAGGCTCCTCGTTCTCGGGCTGCATGGGGCATTGATGTGGTATCCAGAAGCAGGCAGGAAGTAGGTCTGTAACCAAAAGCCAATAGTAATTCATCTCGATTCTCCACAATATAAACATCAAAAGTGCACATTTTAAAGCTACATGGGTAGTACTATCCAAAAAAACTAATGATATATCTGTTGGTTCTATCACCTACAACTTTGGAAAAAATAAATAAACCACAATATTAATTCATTGCATCTCATTAATGAAGGGTTTCTTCCTTGCTTTATGGGCCTTTGGTCCTGCTTCTAGGAGAATGATGTGAACTGTCCTAGCAGTGCACTTCACACCACTTAACATTTCCCATTCTTTTTGGATGTCACTTGAGGTCATCCTCCGATTTATGAGGCACCGCCGAATAAGTTGACAGTCATCTCTGGCATCAGAATGTTGCTTCTGGCCTCTGCCTGGCTGGTTTTTGGTTATTCCCAGTGTCTCCCGCTTCACCTTGTTCTTGTGTACTGCAGTTTTAGAGACTTTGAGCCTGGAAGCAACCTGCTTTGTCGTGTAGCCTTCTGCCAGCAGAATCAGGATTAAACCAGGATTTATAAATGCAGATTCTTTTTAAATATAGAGTGGTCCCCCCTTTTTTTCTAGAGCTATATATACAGGGACTAATATGCCTGGGAGGATGATACGCCTCTGTTCCCTTTCTGTCTTAGCTGGTACTCTGTCCACCATTTCTCAGTTTTCTCTCTCACCATTTCAGTGTCAGACATTACAGTCGTGCAGAGTGACATCACTCATGTGCATTTACTATGGTAGATACTGTACAGTATGTTGACTGTTATTACTGCACAATGGAGACTGTCGTGAGTCAGCTTTCCGACACTCAGCTTTCTAGCTCTGTACTCAATTATACAATGAAATATAGGGACAGATGGTATTTTCAAGAAAAAGTTAGTCACCTATGATTTTTATTGTTGGGGGGGGGGGGGGCGGAGGGGTGAGCAGAGCCTCTTCAAACGGGTGTTAACTGCCTGGAAAAGAGCAGAACGAATCAGAAATCTGTATTGCTGATTAAAAGGCCTTTCACTGTGGTAATAAGCCTTGAATTCCTGTAGATAATAGTTTGGATGTTTTGACCTTTCCCTCGGATGATTCAGGTCACACTGTATGATCATTATGGATAAGGGTGATTTCTAAGCAAGTGACTAGTTTAAGAGGAAGAGTGGTATCTTAAACACGGCAAAAAGAAACGATGTGTTAAGCCGCTTTGTGGAAATTGTTACTGGTGCTTTTAATTAAAAACACGGTGGCTGTGGAACAGGGATTATGGAGAAGCTGATTCCCCAGAAAGAAACAGGCAGCTACACACATTACCTCAGTCACCCTTTTGAAGGGACAGGATGATGAGCTGAATTCCCCACAGCGCGCGTCGTTACGCATGTTCATGTGCTCATGTGTGACCCTGCATGTATATATCAGACAGATATAAATGTAAAGCGGCCAAATTTTTATTGTCATATTATCCACATACAGGGATGCAGTGGCACAAAATGTTATGGTGCGATATACAGACAGCAAATGACAATGGGAGGTATTCGCAGTAGTTTAAAGTGCAAAAGCAGGGGACAGAGTGAAACTGGGCTGGACTCAAGGCTGTATATACATTGTTCATTAACACCGATAATAAATTACACAGCAGCTTTAAGGGTGGAATACAAACATGTCGGCTGATTTTCAATAAATAAGTAAATAAATAATAGTATGGTGACCAGTGCCAATGGTGGGACTGACAGGCGAGACAGAATGTATGTCCGTAAATGCCGTGTACATTAGGTATAGGTAATGTTGTCCTCATGTGGGGATGTGGCTCCTCCCAGTCTGCGCAGCTGCAGCCTGACTGCACACGCAGCCCCAGAAAGACTCTGCAGGCAGTCTCTGCACTGGCGCCCGGGGCTCATACAGATGTTTCTGGCCTGGCTTCACTGGACCCTAGCAGCTGTGCATGGAAAACGTCTTTAGCAAGCAGCCTGCAGCCGTCCCTACCTAGCTCAGCCTTTTCTCTCCCCGAATGGGCTTCAGCCCCCCAGCGCCACCCCCCCCCCCCCCGGGATGCAGTCCTGAAGCAGCTCTTCGCCACCCTCAGTGCCATTACCTCACATTATTCAGTTATTTTGGCAATTCACTTCAGTTAAAAGCAAGCGCTGCCTTAGACTCATTCCCTTCACACAGCTGGATCTCTCTCTGAGCACTGGTGGCCGGGGTTTATGGGTACTGTTACTTGGGCAGCCAGATTTCTGGGACTTTGACCAGGAACTTTTTATGTTTAGTCACTGAATTCCACCCAGAAATGTTATCAGTTCATTTCAGTCCATCACCTGAAAATTGACTGTGTTTCCAGAGGAAACACCTTTGAATGCACCTTAAAGGTCGACTAACCCTTTGCTTTCTAACCTGTAGACATTTATTTTCAAGTGTGGATTGTCAGTCATTGGGTTGTAAGATTATCTGCTTTGCAGACAAGCATTGTTTTAAATCGCCATCTGTACTCAGTACTGTACCATATGTCCATCCATCCAGCTGCCAACCACTTGTCCCGCTTAGGGGACCTGGCTGCACCGAGGCAGAGGACAGGCCAGTTGCTTGGATGAGATGCCAGGCCATCACAGGGCACACACACGAGGGGGCGATGTAGAGATAGAAGTTAGCCTAATGGCATGTTTTGGGCAGTGGGTGGAGACCGGGGTACCCAGAGGAAACCCGCATGATGTGGGGAGAGCATGTGAACGGCTCACCCCAAACAAGTCAGTACTCCTGGAAGTCAATATTTGAATTGTGATACGAAAGGGTCCACCCCGTCCCACTCTGATTACTTCTCTCGGTTTGCCTGGGTGCCAAAGACTGCTGATAGAAAAGATAAGATTGCAGTGTATTTTTTGGTTTAATTAGGTAAGTTGGAAACTGTAAAAAAATTCAAATAAGGCGAATGAGAAAAATGAAATGAACTAAACGAATCATTTCTGACTGTGTGTGCAGAGAACCACAAAATCCCACGCAGTGTGTGCTGTAGCATCATACAAAATGGTCTTAGTCTGTTGTGCTATAAAGAACCTCATTGTGTAATTGAAAGCAGGGTCCACAGCAGATTTAATTAGCATAACACATCCATAGAGAGACATTCACTGTCAGTCTATTGTGTATGATCTTTGTGATGCAGGGTTTTGCGTCTAACGGTGCCAGCGATAGTTCCACAGATCCTTGTTGTGCAGCATCATGCCGAATTGTAGAAAAGCCCAAACCATAATCATCAGGGATGCAATACAAACATTAAACCGCAACTCTCCATATTTCACTTGGCAGTGATTTCTGGCAAAATAAAGAGGCGGGACCTTAGCAAACAGGAGCTTGGGAAATGGTGGTAAAATGAATGATACATAGCATGCTAGTCTGATGTCCATATAAAAGACAAATGCGTGCAATGTTTGGAGCTAATACAGTAACAGGTTGGTGGTTTTGAAGTTCATCTGCGAAAATGTATTCAGTAAAACACAAGAATGAGCCGACCTGTATAAGCAGCAGTAGGTTGTTCGCTGTCATCCATTCCCTGTGTGGAGTTTGCCATCATAATGGAATGTTAGTGTAATCTCAGATGCCCCAGATGTCAGTAAATATCTGGTGTGGTTTATTTTAAATGCTAACCAGTGGGACGTTTTCATCCACACATGGGCCAGCTACACTAAGGAATTCACAAAAGTATATAAACCAGATCGAGTCACCCAAATATCCCCTGCACTGAATTATGTTGTTATGCAGGTCTACTCTTTACTATAACTTATTTCGTATGACCTCAGAGGAATAAAATAGTTTATGTTTGTAAGCAAGTATAAGAAGGTTTGCTTTTCAAATCTGATGCAGCCACCATGCAGCTAG